TTTTTTTAACTGTAAAAAGAAGAGCCGGACAAAAAAATTGGGCGTCACGTCTTTGAGCCATATATATATATATTTTAGAAACTTTATCTAATATGGATATATTTGTATTGTGACACCTAAGATCGTGGTAGCTTGTCAACGAATAAGCCATTTCCTCTGGGAGATCAGTAAAGCATTTTCTTTTCTTTTTTTTATCCTATTCTCTTCCTTTCAGCCCTAAATTGACGTTCATTCAGATAAGTAAACATCTATATTGTCTTTGTAGTTTAAGATGTCGTTGAATCTTTCAGGTGGAGTTTGCTCTCTGGGTGATCCGCTACGTCTGCACCGGGCTGCTCTTCTTTGTTGGTCTGAAAGCCCCCGGCTTGCCCCGAAAGCCCTACATTCTCCTTATCAATGAAGACGAGCGGGACGTGGAAAACAGCGCACAGGTGGGAGAGTATGAGCAGCAAAAAAATTTTAAAAAATCTGATATTCAACCTTTTTTAAAAAAAATAAAAATAAAAAAAATCTGCATTTCTGTTCCATCCTCCTGAGTCCACAGCAGTGTTTTAGAAGAGGGATGGAAACTTTTTCCACTTTTTTTTTTTTTTTTTTGCAAAACTTGCCCAAGTTCAATGTGTCAGAACTTTTGCATGGGCCTGTATTTCATGTTTTTTTTGTTTTGTTTTTTTTCTGATTTTTAGAGCCTGTTAGGAAGGCCAGAGGAGAACCAGTCCACCTGGCAGGGGTTCAGGAAGAAGGTCCGTCTGCTTGTTCCCTACATGTGGCCCCGAGGCAACATCGTCCTCCAGCTGCTGGTCCTCTTCTGCTTGGGCCTGCTGGGAGTGGAGAGAGTTATTAATGTCTTTGTACCCATCTACTATAAAAATATTGGTGAGTGAGACCACATGTTTTAGGTGTGTGAGATTTGAGCTGGATGAAAATGTTTCTTTGTCGCCCTTTTTCACAGTTAATGGATTAACCGATGGCAGCAGCTGGCACACCGTGGCGTCCACGGTGGGTGTGTATGTCGCACTGAAGTTCCTGCAGGGTGGGGGAGCAGGTGAGTGCCACCTCTACACGTGTAAATGAGAGATATCCTGACTGTTACGCATTTTGACGTATTCCGCTCGTCCTCTTCTTCAGGCGCCTCCGGGTTCGTCAGCAACATGCGCTCGTTCCTCTGGATCCGGGTGCAGCAGTTCACCAATCGGGTGGTGCAGGTCCGCCTGTTCGCCCACCTGCACTCGCTCTCGCTCCGCTGGCACCTGGGCCGCAAAACCGGCGACGTGCTGAGGAGCATCGACCGCGGCACGTCGTCAATCAACAGCCTGCTCAGGTCTGTGTTTTGTTCGCATCGTGAAATAAACCAAAACAAAACAAACAAAAAAAAAAAAAAAAATAATATAAATCTGTTTTTTTTTTTTTTTTTCCACAGCCACATTGTGTTTAGCATCTTTCCAACCATCGCTGATATTGTAATTTCCATCATCTACTTCGCCACTAACTTTAACGCCTGGTTCGGCCTGATCATCTTTGTTTGCATGACCTTGTACCTCGGTAAGTGCTGCATGTTGAATCGTAACCATGACGATGAACTGTGCCTACAGAGTCTGAAATTAAACTGCTGCGAAAAAGTATTTGCCCCTTAAATTTAATAACTGCTCCTGCCAGTTTCAGCTCTCTCTTCATAGCAGAATTGTTTTAATTCAGCCACGTAGGAATTTTATTTTTAGATCAGAACATGCTGTGTTGCTTTTTGAGATCTTTTCTCCTGCTTCGTATTGTCAGACAGATTCTATTTAATGATTTGTTTTTGGGGTTTTTTTATTGTTTTTTTTTTATATTTACTCAGATTTGATTAAAAATCTGGTTTGACAATCTGAAATCTTTATAGTGAGACAGAAAAGCATAAACTTGAAATCCGTATGGGGAACAAATACTTTTTCACAGCTCTGCATCTGCAAAACTATCTTAAAGAATGCTTAGGACGACTTTAATTATCGATGTCTTGTAGCTCTGACCATCATCATCACTGAGTGGAGAACCAAGTACAGACGAGACATGAATCTGCAGGACAACGCTGCCAAGTCCAAAGCCGTGGACTCTTTGTTGAACTTTGAAACGGTATAATCAAATGAATGCAGATGTCGGTCGATTATGTTATAATTATGATGCGAAACAAATATTTGTACGCCTTAAAATCCCCCCCCCCCCTCCCCCGAGTCAAATTTGTTCTCCTTTTGTCTTCTTAATAGGTAAAATACTACAACGCAGAGAACTACGAGGTCGGCCGGTTTGAAGACGCCATCTTGAAGTATCAGGTAGGTCTTAAGTAGTGACGGCTTTTTCTAAGCAATGTGATGAGAATAGTTTCTTTGAAAAGTTTTGTTACACGCAAACTTAGACGAGGTACCCACCTGGGATTCAGGAGAAGGATTATGCGTTCTCATAACATCGACTATATTAATCGTCTCATATCTGCTCCTGTTTTAGGCTTCAGAGTGGAAGACTCAGGCGTCCCTCGCCTTACTCAATCAAACCCAGAACGTCATCATCGGATCTGGACTGCTGGCCGGCTCTTTGCTCTGTGCCTATTTTGTTACAGAGGGGAAATTTCAGGTGCTAAATCGGTTCATTCTCTCCATATCCTGATGTGTTTCTTTTCTTATTGTGACAACGGCAGCCTTCTGATTCTAGGTGGGAGATTTTGTTCTTTTCGGTACATACATCATCCAGCTTTACACCCCTCTCAACTGGTTTGGAACCTACTACAGGTAAAAATGGGGCTCTACCTACTGGATTTAGATATCTCCTTATGAAACTGTTTATTTTAAAATCATTTTTTGCCTTTTTTGTCCTGCAGAATGATCCAGAATTCCTTCATCGACATGGAAAGCATGTTCAAGCTGTTTGAGGAAGAAGAGGAGGTATGTATGAAACTGCAGAGCGTTTGGATCGGTGGTGTAGCGTTTCTTCTAAATGTTCTGCGTGTTTTCTGCAGGTGAAAGACGAAGTTAATGCTGGAAATTTGCAGTTCAAACTGGGAAGAGTGGAGTTTGACAGCGTCTACTTCAGCTACACCAATGGGTGTGTTCACGTTTGCTTTCATTTTAGTGTAAAGTTGCGTACAAAGTCTGAAAATACTAAAGGATTTTGATCATTTTTACAGAAAGGAAATTCTCAGGGATGTCTCCTTCACCGTTCTTCCAGGACAGACTGTTGCACTGGTATGGTGATTTTAAATAAGGAATTTGTCATTATTAATATATTTCATGTGCTCTCTTATGATCTTCTTTTTTTTTTTTTGCTCTCCTTTTAAGGTTGGACCATCAGGATCTGGGAAAAGTACCATCATTCGCCTTCTTTTCCGCTTTTATAATGTTCAGGGAGGCTGCATCCGCATTGATGGCCAGGATATCTCAAAGGTAAGAGTCTGGTATGACACCAGAATTCTTCAAAATGTTGCCCTATTTTTAAGGGCAAATATAATAAATTTCACAGCTTTTCATCTCAGCTTTTGCATGAATAAATGTGTAAATTTACTCATGCGAATTCATACGTTTGCATGAGTAAAACTCAAAAAATACACAGACAGTTTTAGCCAGGAGCACTGCCGAAAGCTGACCAAAAGCAGTAAAGTTATGTATGTAAGGCAAAACCTGGGCATCAACATATTCCACATTGTCAAATCTTGACATAAGTGTGAGCAAACCCACCAGCTTGAATTTGAATTCATTTGAATTTGTGGCCTGGCACAGAGTCTGCGCTTTAATTTAACTTTAGTTTATTGAGTACACACTTGTCTTGTGTTTCCTCAGCTGAAGCAAAGATCTCTCCGGGCGCACATCGGTGTGGTTCCTCAGGATACGGTGCTTTTCAACGACACGATCAGGGACAACATTCGCTACGGTCGCATCACTGCGTCCGACAGCGAGGTGGAGGAGGCAGCCATAGCTGCCGACATACATGACAAGATCATGACTTTCCCTGAAGGTAACCCGTTGAGCTTGCAAGTTACAATTCCTCCCCTTATTTTCTTGTTTGCTTTATGAGTAATTTGAAAAAAGTATATATGTATTTTTTTTTTTCTATTTCTTTTCACCATGTTGTGGAATTTGCAGGCTATGACACGCAAGTGGGCGAGAGAGGTCTGAAGCTGAGTGGAGGTGAGAAGCAGAGGGTTGCTATTGCCAGAACAATCCTGAAGGCACCTCAGATCATCCTGCTGGATGAGGTATCAGAGCAAAGCTACACGAAAGAAACCTTGAATAAAATACCAGAAGAAGTCTGTAGTTTTATAACCAAGTTTCTCTTTAGGCAACATCAGCTCTGGACACGCAGACAGAGCGCAACATCCAGGCCTCTCTGGCCAAAGTCTGCACCAATCGCACAACCGTCGTCGTAGCGCACAGGTAAGAGGAAAACGCAGGAATCCGAGTTTGACTTGTATATATTTCACGTCTGGATACGGATAGGGAAACGAAAAAGTATGGCCCTGGCTTTATTTGCCTAAAAGTTTCATTCATCCAGCCGTTTTTCAAACAATCTAATATTATTTTTGTCACTAATGGACTCCCTTACTTTAAACAAAAAAAACAGGCTGTCCACCATCATTGGAGCGGATCAGATCCTGGTGATCAGTGAGGGTCGGATCGCTGAACGAGGACGGTAGGTTTCTCCCCTGATCCTGTCGCCAACGTGGAGCAAATTTCCCTGAATCGGGATTAAATGTCAACCCGCTCTTTTTCCAAGGCATGACGAATTGCTGTCCAAAGGGGGTCTATATGCAGACATGTGGCTGAAGCAGCAGCAGGCCCACGACTTGGATTCCTCCTCAGACACCGAAGCAAAAGATCGCAAGTCTGAGAAACTACAGCCACCGTCCACCTCTTCAGCCCATCAAGGGCATTGATTGTATTTATTGCTTGAGACAACAAAGTGTGTTTTTGTACTCTACTTGTCAGATTTGATGCTTTATTTAAAAGTAAAAGAACACCGAGCGACGTGGTGATATTTATTTTAGGGAACGTTCCAAGTGTCTGTGCAATGTCAGGTCAGGTAGAAAAAGGGAAGGTGCCTTTAAAGAACTGAGGATATGACACTACTATCAGATGTATGAAAATACACACTCATGTTAAAGCTCATATCATAACTGATATGATTTTATATCGAGATACCGGGGCAAAAGGTCAAAATATTAGCAAAAAAAAAAAAGCAGCACTTCTGCTACTCGTCAGGGTTTTTTGTCTTTTTGTTCTTATATTTTGCGTTTACTTTATGTTGTCTCTCTTTTCTCTCTTCTAACAAGCCATCCATTTTTGAACTCTAAAGAAATTAAAATATAAGGGAATAAAACCATTCAGCTTAATCAAGAAATGAATAACTCGGCGCGACTGTGATGAATGACAGTGGGGCGAAGTACAAGCTGTCAGGAATTTTCTTTTATATGTCAACATGTACAACGTTACTTGAGGTGAAACTTTTTAAGTGTACAGTTCAATCAGTTTAGCATAGTGGGATGTAATAATTGCTTTATTCTCATAATGGTTTACAGAAACAGTCATGCATGTCTACTGCTGTACCAACCATTTCACACCGTCAGGATACACACAAACTCAACTATTAGTTCTCAGTATGTGAAATGTAAACATACATTTTGTGCTGAACCGTGTTATTTCAACTCTTTTTCTTTTCTTCTCAATCTACCGACTTGTGGATCTGAAAATGTATATTTGGTTCTGTGGAAATTATAGAACTGTTTGCCTTGTTATAATAAACAATAAAAATCTATTTTTCACAAGTTCCAGGCTCTAAATGAAAAACATACATTTCCTCTAGATTTTAATGAGAATGTATTACCTTTAATAATTACTGAAGGATAAGGATTTTAAGCTTTAAGAAAAAAAATGTGATGCACTTCGAAGTTTGTTATGGGTGTTGGCCGTTGAAATAAAAAATAGTTTCTGAACATCTCTTCATATAATGAACTCAAATTTGTAAAAACTTAACTTTAATATTTAAATACATAAGCACAAAGATCAGAAAGTATTTTGGTAAAGAGTAAGTCATACCTATTTAAATGATATTTTATGTCTAATAGGAAGAAAAAATAATGGTAAATGTGAAGGATGTGGAGAGAAAGAAAATATAGAACATGTACTGATGAATTGTAAAACATGAGCCTTAAAGGAAAAAAATGAGAATGGTTGGAAGGACAGGACAGGAATGGAGTCTTAAAAGAATATTAGGAAATGAAGGACACATAGTGGACATGTACAGATTAAGGAAATCATTATCTTCAGAATACAAAGTTAAAAAATAGTTTAAAAAAATACAGAAGGTGGCGGTATGCACCTTAAAGTTCCTTGCGATCCGCCATTATAGATAGGAAGAAGTAGAAGTATTTTTGGTACGTTCTGGGTTCCGTACTCCTGTGTTCGCAGCGCCCCCTGCCGTCAAAAAGGCCTCAGTTTGCCTGAAACGAAAGCAAACACAACACTAGGCGGTTTAGTCGTCACTGGCTATCTGCTGTCAGGGCGTGTTTTCAAGCCAAGTTAAGCTTGGCAGGGAGGAGGCACCAGGCCGAGCAGACTTTATTTCTCCTCCAAATTTGACCTACTGATGTATAATTTACAGTAACTATGGATTTCGACGCGTTATTTAATGAAAACACGTTTCAGTTTTCGGACTTCCAGGAGTTCACGGTATGTCGATGAGTTAGAGTCATGCTAGCAGATGCTAAGCTCGTTAGCTTGCTGATGTGAGTGACGGATAACGCGGACTGCCTTTTATGGCAGGAGAGAAAATTGTGAAACCGCTATTCAACAAGTTTGAACTCAACTTTAGCACTAATTATTGCTATAAAATTAAAAATAACATGCTATAATCTTGTAACTCTGGTATTTCTTAGCGAGTAACGGGTGTTTATTAGCTGTTAGCCTAGTACGCTAACTAGCGTCAGAGTCTGGGTTGTGGTTAATTGTTATTACAGATGGCTTCCTCTACTGCTGCGGTGTAAAAGGAACATATATTTCCTAAATCATTAGCTTTGTCAGCTAATGTCGACTTTAAGCTGTTTTTGTGCTTTGTATGTGATGATTTTTGTCATGTTGCATTGAATAAGACATCATAGCTCATGTTGTTATTGCAGTTTCTTCCTGGACACCAAAAACTGAGCGAGAGAGTGAGAAAAAGACTGTATTATGGCCTGGACAAAGATGTTTCACTAGATGCCCTTTCTTGCCCTGTTACAGGTGAGTGTTGTCCAGGCTTAGCACCAGGAATACTTACATGAGGCTTGCAAAAGGGAAATTCCACATTTTTATCTATTGAGTTTTTAATCTTCCCAGGAATACCTAGACCCTTCAAACTACATCTAGATAATTCTAAACTAATACCAAAAACGACTCATCTCAAAACTCATTATTTTATAACTTTATTATAACGTTAGCTTTATTGTATTGTGCTATTTTGCAATTCCACGTTGGTTTGTTATTAATGGCCATTATGTTGACTTTGTGCTTCCAGATATTGCTGTTGAAATTTTCCAAAAGTCTGCCCCGAGCCCAATCCGAAAACTCCAGAAGAAGTATGCTGCTCATGTTGCAAGGTTAGTTCTTTCCATAATGTCACTTGTTTCTAAGTATTACGCCTGTCTAAGTACGTCTAAGTATTACATCATTTTTTACTAAAACATGCTTCTCTCTTGGCTTAGGGAGGCTTGCATCTCTCCGTGTGCCATGATGCTGGCTTTGGTTTACATAGAAAGACTCCGACACAGAAACCCTGAGTATCTGCAAAAGATCTCCTCGTCTGACCTTTTCCTGATCTCAATGGTATGCACTTCGAAGGCTGGGGGGCTTGGGGTTTGGGGGGGTGAGGTCATGTGTCGTTATAAATACGAAGTAACATTATTAATAGCACGTGTGTGAATTTTAAGGCGATTTTAAATGTTCTCTCTGATTGTTTTCCAGATGGTTGCCAGCAAATACCTCTACGATGAAGGTGAGGAAGAGGAGGTTTTCAATGACGAGTGGGGAGCAGCTGGGAAACTGGATGTCCAAACGATCAACAACCTGGAGATGAGTTTCTTGAATGCCATTGTAAGTGAGACTGTGTGTGTGTGTGTGTGTGTGTGTGTGTGTGTTAATGTTTTTCTGCATGTATGATTTATGTTTTTATTCCCTAGGAGTGGAGCCTCTTCACAGAGCCAAAGGACTTCTTTGATATACTCCGCCACCTGGAAACAAGGTGTGTATATCAGTTTAGGTGATAATTTATTGTGAAATATTTGAACGTTTTACTTCTTGTTGAGCCATAAGTAAAGATTGCAGAAGCATGAATCAATACAGTTTTTGACCGAGGGTGTGGTGTTTTGTTTGAAAGAAGGAAAATAAATTGTAATAAGAGATTTTGGATCTTCATTGTTCTTTTGTTTGTTTGTTTCGCATTTTGGGGGTGGCTGTTGTTTGCAGCATTGCGGAGAAGCAAGGAATGAGACGTGGCTGGTTCACCTACACTGACCTGTGTGTGCTGCTGGATCACTCTGCATGGAGTCACGCCCTCGCTGCCATCTATCAGCACTTTCTAAAGGTTAGAAACCTGTTTAGAAGGGAACAGTGGAGTCAAAATGGAAGAGGCTTTTAATGCAAAGAGAGTAAATTTGTATTTCCCGTGTGTGTTTTCAGGTGTTCTGTATGCTCGGCCTGGTGTATCTGACCGGTGTAGCCGGTCTTATTGCTAGCAGTGCCGTTGTGCACCAGCTCAGTCTGTGCAGAGGCGACCAATCCGCGCTGCCTTCGCCAAACGAAATCGGCCTCCTCCCGACCCCCACTCTCAGCCCAGAAGCAGCCATGCCGGCCCACCGCCCGCCATGTTGTGTTCTGACCAATAAGTCTCTAAACGGTCAAACCGCTTCGTTTGAAATCAGCCAGCAACACAGACAGAACGATTCCCCGTCGGGTTCTGCAAGAAACTCTGTTTTGTGTCTCTGGGGTTCTCTGTTGGCCTACGTGAGCCGTGCGCATCCTGTCAAAAATCCCGACGCGGAATCTCCCCGAGCCTGGCCGTCTTCCTCCTTCGACTGTTCCGGCTGTCTTCCAAACCTTCCTCATCTTCAGTGTGTACTTCGAAACACCTCGGCACTCCCTCACCTCGGTCCTGTCAAACCCCATCCTCAGTCGACGTGGCTTTCCTCCGGCCTGATGGGAGCCGCAGGATCAAGCCTGGACTCACACTTTGGGGCGTTTCCAACTGTAGATCTGTTGCCGTGCCGACCTGAGGCTCTGCTCATGCCTGGCTAGAGAGGCGTCGCCCGTTGTCATGCTGGAAACGCCCCTGGAAACCTTAAAAGCTTTTGTTTTCATGACTCACCACTGTCATGTTGTTAAGAGCGCGGACGTAAAGTGGCACTTTTATTTTTACTGAAGTGCTATTAACGGGGTCTAATCTGCTTTTTCATATTGGGATGAACAAGATTTCTTCCAAATCTCTTGAGTTATACATGATAAAAATAAAAAAACCAAGATGACATCTCATCGGGGCGGTTAGCGTATTTGTTTAAAGGTTGCTAAGCATATCTACAAGAAAGCTTTCCAGCGAGCGCTTATCTTACTAGCTTTACAAGGAGGACGAATTTAACCAGCATAGGCTGTTTCCTAAGTTTTCACTTTGCTCATGCGTACTCTGTGTTACCATTTGTTTGTTCCTCTATCAGTTTGGGTCAGATTTTGGTCAAATTCGCTGCAAGCACTGATTTTGTTTTGTTCAGAGTAAGTAGTTGGGGTTCGATACCTGCAGAGGAAAGTGTCAAAGAGTGGAAGTAGACTACTGAGTGGAAGCTTTATCTGCATATCCAAATGCACCTGTCACTTGTTTCATTGAGATTAAAGACATGCTGTTGTCTCTGCAATATTTAACATTTCCTTCTCTTATGCACCATATTTCATGTTGGTAATAATCCCTGTCGAAGGTCAGTGTTGAAGATTTGGCTTCTGTGGGTTTTGTAGCAGGTTTATTGGCTCTGTGTCCAGCATGTTAGAAGAAGGCTAACTGAAGTGTTTCCTTTTTTTATGCAATCTGGAATTTGCACATTTTGCTTAAATACACCACTTGTCTTTATTATTGCTGCTTTGAACACCATAGAAGAAGAAAAACATATTTTTATGTGCAATTAAGCAAGGAATGGGGGTAAAAATACATTCAAGGTTCGGATTTGATACATTTTGGAGCAGAAAAAACATTTAATTTTGTAAATGGTGTAAAAAAAAAAATAAGATGAACCCATAATTAATAAATGCTTTTATAAAAAGTGTTTTTTTCCTTGTTTGCATTTATTTGAAGTTGAGCTCTTAACTTTCTCTCTAAATATTCTAGCGTTTATTATATTAAAGCAGCGTATTCGCAGTGACTTAAAGTTGTCATCAGAGCTGATGAGGTGAAGTGAGCAACCCGAGTCCTACTGGTACAGTCAGGTGGAGGTGATGCTGTGGGCATGTAATAATAAATGTTCTCAAATTACGCAGGTTCACCAGGAGAGACAATGGGAGTAGAAGGACACAATGTCCTGAAGGACAAAAAAGCAGATGTCTAGATTTGGGATAAAACAGACGGTCCCTCCCCTTGAACCCATGCCAGCTTCCTTTTCCCCTCCCCCCTCTACTCTGCCGCCACCAGCCTAACACCACTCTGCAGCTCCTAATATAGACCCAACTGGTTTGTAGGAAAGGGTAACAAACCAAACAGTCCCTGTCATTCGGGACCTTTTTGTTCATGGACAAGCAGGATAATGGAGCCTCTTTCACAGGTTTGTTTGCTTCTGAGCTGCCAATGAAATGGATCATTTACAGAGGTTGGATTTTAAGGTCTTTAGAAAATACTCGCGTTGTGTTTCTAGGTGTCGTGTTCAACAGAGGAGGCGAAGGTGAAGAAACAAGGTACGTTTACAAGGACCGCTCTGTTGCAGCTGTGCACATGCAGGCATTTGTACATTTCTTGGTATGTGTTAGTGCGTCACATATCGTTTGCATGCGTCTGTCTCCACGCTGATGAACCGCTGTGGGTTCTCCCAGAGGCTGATACCACGGTCTACCTGAACTTCATGAAAAGTCACACTTGCTACGACGCCATTCCAATCAGCTGCAAACTGGTCATATTTGACACAACATTACAGGTAAGCGTAGACTTTTCCAATAGAAACGTGGACGCAAGGGCTTCTCAATCTGAAACGTATATATAACGTTTAAAGAGATTTTGTTGATATCAGGGAGCTTAAGAACTGCATCAAGCTCAAAATCCTTGTAATTCAATTAAAAATCTTCTATTCATCCCAAAGGAAGATTAAATGTTCTTGTAACTCATATTCAAAATGTTGTGGATGCTGTGGGCAGGAAGGATTTCCAGTAGCAGTCAGTCTTGCAACTAAACTGAAGAGGTCTCTGGTTGAAGTCTGTTGCCATGTGACAATCTTGTTGCTCAGTGTTCAGGTTGCAGTAAAATGTCCTGGATGTCAGCGTCAGCTGTTGACAAGCACTTCTAATCCACCTCATTTGCTTTTGCTGCTCCCTTTTAAATCTCTGTCTGCCACCATGGTTGCCATGGTTATGTATCATAGCAACTGTCTGAAAGGAAAAGGAAAAAAGAGGAAAAATCCTTCCAGCTGCACAGCATCCAAAATCAGAGGGAATAATTGCCAAAAAAAGTAAACAAAAGCCTAGAAACTCCATATACAATAATGATAATAATAATGATAGTAATAATAGATTGTCATTTCCATATTAGGAAATGTGTTGGGAACACTGAACATTTTATTCCAAACCAAAACATGAGACATTTATCAATTCTTTGTCAATATTATATTACACTATTATGCTATTAAAGGAGCAGTCGCCCCTGTTTCTATACGAACTCTAATATTCAGGTACCATTTTAACTAAAAAGTGTTCGACTATTTAGCTTTCCGGTAAATTGCTGAGTTAATATCCAGTCATCACTGCTTCACATCTGTGTTGTCCGGAGTTCATCAACGCTTAGCATCCATTAACAGGTATTCCAGCCCAGGGAGGTCGGACCGCATTCTTCTTTCCTGTTCTTGCAGCCGAAGCAGCAAGATTAAGATCTGAGGAATAAAAATATTTTATTCCTCAGCTAAACCATGATACCAGCATCATGGTTTAGCTTTCTGGTTTCTGTGAAGCCAGAAACCATGATGCTGGTATCTGGCTTCACACTCTCTATGCCACCTCTTTCAAACCTCTAGTGTAATTGAAACATTACTTGCTTGCTATTGACTTTCGCTCCGTTTTCTCTAAAGGTGAAAAAGGCCTTTTTTGCCCTGGTGGCAAATGGCTTGAGGGCTGCGCCGCTCTGGGACAGCAAGCTGCAGAGGTTTGTGGGTAAGGCCTGTGTTTCCCCGTCTACAGTGTTGTTTAATGTTGGTTTGTGTAAGATCAGGGGTGTAACTCCGCTTCTTCCACAGGTATGCTGACTATTACTGATTTCATCAACATACTCCATTGTTATTACAAGTCACCAATGGTGAGCACGAATATACGACAACTTTAGTAGCTATTGGTGGAGGTATATTTTCTGCTCTTGGATCGTAATTTTTACTTCTTATTTGATGATTGTAAGTTTACATTATTGCTCCTCCACTCTGGGATTGTAAAGACTGGTGCAGAGAGTGAAACAAAGTTGCGTAAAGGGAAGAGCGGGAAACAGAGTTGGTATTTCTTATTTGTTCTTGTTTCCTCCCAAAGGTCCAAATGTATGGACTGGAGAGCCATAAGATTGAAACGTGGAGAGGTGATTCCCTTCAAAGTAAATAACAACCACTAACAATAACATTATCTTGAAGCTAAAATCTCGCTGAATATCTAATTGAGCTCTCCCTGTTTTTGTTTGTTTGTTTGTTTGTTTTTTATCTAGATGTGTACTTAAAGTCTCCAACTCAGTTCCTTATCAGTATTTCTCCGCAGGCCAGGTGAAAACAAAAAACTCTTCTTAGAGTAAATTCTCACAGACTTTTCCGCAAAGCATCAAATTCCGCTCTTACGTCCCCTTTTCCTGTCCAGCCTCTTCGATGCCATCTATTCCTTACTCAGATACAAGATCCACAGGCTGCCTGTCATCGACCCAGAGTCGGGAAACGTTCTGCACATCCTGACTCACAAGCGAATCCTCAAGTTCCTGCACATATTTGTGAGTTAGCCACATCTGCATTAGTGCTGTTATTTTTGGAAATACAACAACACAACCAGAAAGAGTCTGTATGGGGACAAAAGCGTTTTTCTTTTTCCACAGCACTGTACTTTATAGTTTCCGGATGTATTTTCAGGGAAAAAATTTGCCCAAGCCTGCATTTGTAAAGAGGCCGGTCCAGGAACTGGGCATCGGGACGTTCAGGAACATTGCTACAGTCCACCAAACATCATCGCTTTATGAAGCCCTGTCCATATTTGTGGAGCGGCGAGTGTCGGCACTCCCTGTGGTGGATGGGCAAAGTATGCTTTTAAAGCCAACATTTTACATCTCAATGATGTTATCAGCTCTTCATACTGTATCAGCATTCAAGCTGATTGTTTTCACAGGCAAAGTGGTGGCACTCTACTCAAGATTTGATGTCATCGTGAGTACAGCAGAAAAGATCTGATCTAAGGCTCCGATTTCTGTCTTTCTGTGCCATTGTTTGCTGACTTCTTCTTTTTTTATTTTCCATAACAGAATCTGGCAGCCCAGAAGACCTATAACAACCTGGACATGACGATGGAGGAAGCCATTCGCAGACGGACGTGTTGCGTTGAGGGTGTGATGAAGTGCTATCCCGATGAATCTTTAGAAACGGTCATAGATCGGATAGTTAAAGCAGAGGTTCGTGTTATTTAGGCTTGTGTTTTGCCATCAGATCAGGAGATCAGGTGCTAAAAAAAAAAAAAAAAAAAACTTTTTTCTTCTTCTTCCAGGTCCACCGGCTGGTTCTGGTGGACAGGTTGGACGTTGTGAAGGGCATTATCTCTCTGTCTGACCTCCTGCAGGCTTTGGTCCTTACACCTGCAGGGATTGATGCTCTTCTATCCTAGGAGGAAATAAAAGAAGTTCCTCTTTTCTGCCTTTGCAGGCTTGACGTCTGGCAATGTGCAGAAGCAGGTACGCTCTGAAGTTTTTCCACTCCCCTCCACTCTTAGCAACAACCGTCCACCATCTTATTTAGTTACCATAACTATGGTGTATGTTTTTACTCAACTCCCTTCAGAAGTTACCGAAGACGATGTTTACATTTCTAAAATATAAAAACGTTCAAGTGGTATGAATATGTTTGGGATGCACCAGATATAGTTTGCTATGTTGATTTGTGTCTTTTAGAGAATGACTGAAAGGAGAGACGATTACCAGGCGATGCCGTTTACAGTAAGATGATGAGTGTCTCCAATCCCATCTCTCATGAGGCTCCCCACAGACTCAGTTTGCACAACGTGATCAATATGTTTACTCACTGTAATCCTGTGTTTGTATTAAATACATGTGAACAGATCCAGCTGTGTGTGTGTGCGTGTGTGTTTCTTTGTTTTGTTTTGTTTTATTGAACCGGGGTTCGTGACATGTTCACGCTGACTTATTGCTTTGTCATAAACAGCCAGTAGGAACCCTGACCGCATGGTGCCTCACTCTTGCTTTTTTTTTTTTAAACCCCTTTCTTCCCCACTTTACACGGTAAACAAGGAGCACGTGACCTTTCCCCCCCTTATCTGTGACGGCGTTGATGATGCCGCCGCCCATCTGTGCTCCTGCCGTGAGGACGTCAAGTTGAAATGATAAGAAGCTACAGCGGAAGTAGATGTTTTTGAGCAAATGTGAATCAAATACAATGTCCACGATCCATTCGCTTGAAAGAATATTACATCGTGATATATTTAAGTGTTTATTTATTCGTTATTTTCAGTTCAATTTAACAGTTAATTCCAGATGGAAATTTAATAAAAATGTATTAATTGATAACCATCTGGTACCGTTGTTGCTTTGCAGTACAAATAATACCACAATATAATACATTGTGGTATGTAAAATATTCATCTTGATTTTGTTGTCCAAATAATTTTCAATATATTGCTAATTTTAATAAACATGTTTTAGATCCACATGTACTGCTGCCACAGAAATAAGGTAAAATAATAATAATAATAATAATAATAATAATTTTTGTGATTATTTAATAATATAATTTTAATTAAGTACATGGTATAAATGTGTAATGCATATTTATTTTACCAAATAACCTTTTGTTTTGGAATTTATGAAGAAAAAAACATATCTGTTCTAAAATGAATAAGTAAATAAACGCTGTTTCATTAATGGAAGAAGAAAATCGGAATCATTTTCCCAGAACCTCTTCCGTAGATTTACTTTTGAATTTGTATACGTTTAAAGCATCTCGCCAGTCTTCTAATCTTTGATTGCATAATAAAAAATTTTAAGTTTAGATTTAGTGTCTTTTATTTTGAAGGAGTCATCCGGAAGCTTTCATTTAGCGTGCTGTCTCGACAGAGACCGTTCCATATACCCCGTGATCTCCAAAACAACATAACAAAAGTGGGGAAGAAACATGGCGAGCGGAGAGGAGGCCACAAAACGCCCCTTGGTAACCTCCTCTTCGGTCGGCCTGGAGGATCTCTTTCCTGCCGGGACCTCGGAGCAGGCGTGCGGGGACGGGAACCCGGAGCTCGACCGCTTGCGGGAACATCTCCAAGCTTGGCTATCGCCGTACGAGCCCCTGCTGCTGTGGGTGCAGAGGCTGCTGGTCTGGGAGAGGCCGCTGTATAGCGTTTCAGCCGCCCTGACTCTTAACACTTTATTCTGGTAACGAATGAATCTGTGTTTATCCACGTTTTAGCAATAAAACAGCTTTTAATCGCATTTTAAGCTGATGTCAGCGTAGGTAGCACGAATAAATGTCAAGTGAAGTTAGCTAATCCCACGTCTTTAGCCTAATGCTAACTTAGCTTGTAATTTAAATACAGTTAGCACGGAAAGCTTTAGCCTTGTCTGTTGAGTAAATGCATTGTTGAGTAAATAAATAAGTTGTTTCCTACTGAAACACCTGCTGCTGCTCAAACAGACATTTCTTGTCCTGCTGGTGTCGGAGCTGTGGACCAGCTGTCAGTGTCAGACTCGCTGGGCTCCGAGACCATAAATGCATCAGCAAGTTATAAGGATCTGTTTTTGGCTCCACAGGCTTCTATCCTCCACTTCCCTGCGGCCTCTGTTCCTGCTGAGTGTGTCTCTGCTGGGCCTGATGCTGCTGGAGAGATGGAAGCCTAAGTTACCCATCATTACAGGTGAGCCCAGGTCTAACTACTGTTATTACTGGCGGTCTTTTGGGCTTGGTTCTAGCCTATGTTACTGTGTTCATACTCCACAGAGTCGTGGTTCAAGTTTTTAAAAAAAAGTTTTGTGTTTTTTAAAACTTTGGAGAGGCTAATCAACTGTAAAAACAATATTTTGTTGTCATGGTTACACATTAGAACTGTTTGAAAATAAAATAAAAAAATGCAAGCGCAAAAACTTGATGGGATCATTCCGTAGTTGCAAAAGCATGGAAGACAAAAATAAAATCCTGATTTTTGAAATCTCCAGCTGTAATTTGAGTTCATAAAGCCATGATAATTGTGATCAGGAGGAAGTTGAGGGTGGAGGGGGGGATTAAGTGTGAAAGCTTAGAGACTTAACAAACCGGCAACCTACGACTGGATTTAAAAGGGTCCTCTGAAGAGCATTGAGAGGCCATCACTGTGACTTTTGTCCTGCACACTGTAGTTTAATTGTATTTAAGAATGTTGTGTGATACAAAAAAAATATTTATCAAACAATGAATCATATTAACTGCACCAGATTAAGGCAGTGTTGTACTAAGATAAGGGAATAATTCTTGATTTCTGATTTTAAAATAAAAATCTGGATAAAACTAACTTTGAATGCACCTATCTGTAAAATTAAGACATTTTTTTATGTTTCTTTTTTTATCCCTACAGTCCAACATGCTGAGGCTGAACCTGCACAAAGGTCTGCTTAAAATCCCATTTTCTGTGTGTTTTCAGTTTTTCCTTTAAGAAAACTATTTTTCATTTTTGTTTTTCTCTTCTGTATCTGTCAGTGCAGGAAGATGACAGCTTACCACGTTCATATTTCAGGCTGCAGTTTAAGGCAGATTTATTTTCTGCACAGGTGTTAATTTTCTCTTTCTTTGCACGCCTTCTTTTTTTTTTTTCTCAATTAAAGCCCAACTTTGAGTTCGGAGCATCATCTGCTCAGCGTCCCAGAGCTCAGCCACCACCTCGCCGAGAGCTACCTGACCTGCTGCCTGTATCTGCAGGAGACGCTGCAGTACAAACGCAAAAACCATGGAAGGGTGCGCACAGACACTCTGTCCATTTTAACCAAGGGAATTTGTATATATAATTATAAAATGTTGGTTCTAAAATCATTTTTTCTGGTTCCCAGTTCTGTGTGATGATGTGCAGCGGCTGCTTTGTCCTCGCTGTGGTTGGACATTATGTGCCAGGAATCATGATTTCATATATCATAGGTGAGTCACTTTGTGTCTAATTGCCATGCAGACACACAGTCGAGCTGTCTGGTTGTCGTGACGAACTGCCTGCAGGAAGATGAGTAAATGCGGTGTTAATAACAATCCGGTCAATAGAAACAAAAACGTTATGTGGAGAATCCAGCTTTTAAACTGCTGATATCCTTATAGATCACTTATTATACATTTCTGTCAACATTTATTTTCACCCCTGGTAAAGATGAGAGTGTCTAGAAACTTTAGTCATATATACGACAGAGGTCCTATTTCGTATCTTCTCCTCAAAATGAAGGAGAAGATAAACGGAAAAACAAGCAAACATGTCTTCAAACTGAGACATACGTGTGTCAGTTTTCATAAGCTTTGTGAAAATAGCATCTTGCCTTAATTGCACAGTCAGATCAATAAGAGGCTGCTTACTTGGCTTTATCAGGGGTTGTTATAAATTCAGGAGGCGCTGTTGGCATTTCCCTCACTTCTCTGCAGCGTCTTGCTTTATCAAATCTGTGAATGTTTTTTCTCCATGTGTGCATATTCTCAGCCCTCAGCGTGCTGCTGTGGCCCCTGGTGGTGTATCATGAGCTGATCCAGAGGATGTACACTGGCTTGGAGCCGATTCTGATGAAACTGGACTACAGCATGAAGGGCGACACTGAGCACCGGAAGCACGACAAGAGGAGTGAGTGTTTTTTGTTACAATAAAACGGTTAACCTTTTTTTCTTTGTTTTGTTTTTTTTTTTACTGTGTTTTGATAGAGTATCATGTGTTATTTATTGCATTTATGTGTGTAAATACTTTCCACAGAGGTAAAAAAGGAGCTGGAGGAGGGGGATGAGCCCAGAGCAGAAACAGAGAGTGAGAGTGAGGAAGAGGAGGAGGAATTGTCCTGTTTTGCTCCAACGGTATGGATTCATACTACACAGAAGTTTATATATATATATATATATATATATATATATATATATATATATATATATATATATATATATATATAACAAAGGAAGCAGGAGAAAAGTGGAGCTTGGATATATTTTATGCCGAAATCAACTCAGTTGTGAAATTGAGGGCTGCGGTGAGTGTCTTCATTTCGAGTGTTTCAAGTATTACTACATTCCTGCACCTGGGAGGCGTTTGAAGATGTCATGTGTTGTAATTAGTCACAGGATTCTTCCTAGATCTGATTCAGAGCGCTTAGCAGTTGTTTGATCTCCTGGATTAATTTACTTTAAGTCTCACTGATGTTGCAACCCGGCGTCGCCACAGAAGAAGTATTTTCTTTTTTTCCGTCAATAGTTTAAGGCAAAGACGAGAGTCACGTTTAAACTTTCTTTCTTTTGCTCTTGTTTATTGCAAGGTGGATGTGAAAACGACAGCACTGGCAATGGCCATCACAGACTCTGAACTGTCGGATGAAGAAGCGTCCATATTGGAGAGCGGAGGCTTCCCGGTCTCTAGAGCCACCACGCCTCAACTAACTGATTTGTCTGAAGGTAAGTCTGACTCCTTCAGTCAGTTCTGCAATTATTTTAGTAATCAATTAATACATCAATTATTCCGACAATGAATGATGAGATGTTTGTTTCTAAGGAGGAACTAAAAATCAGGTCGGTAGAATTCTATCAAGTAGTGAGAGATTTGTGTCACTTCTCTGATCCAGACCTGGACCAGTAGAGTTTCCATAGCGACCCGGAGGAGGCCTACCTGCGGGATCTTCCCGAGTTCCCCTCTGTGGAGGAGTTCCCCTCCATAGAGCACAGTCTGCTTCACTTCCCCCCACGACCTCAGGGCGATGGCGGCCAGTTGGACAAGGAACCGCTGAGCCCCGCCACGCTCCTCATCCAGCACCTAGCGTCGCCTCTGCACTTTGTGAACACGCATTTCAACGGACACGGACGGCCACCGGGGGATGAGGAGGGCGCCCTGCCGGGAGCGGGGGTAAGGGAAGAGGCAGAGGCGAAGGCGAGTCAGGGCACACAGCGCTCCTTGGAGGCCCTGAGCGAGGAGATAGTGAGCACGGCCATCTCCACCGTCGTGCAGAACACTCTGTCGGCGCTGCTGCGCTCCGGCGAGGACCCCTCCCTGGCCGACTTCCTCCCGACTGAAACCCTACCGGGCGCTCTGGAGTCACCCAGCCAGTCCGCCGACACTAAGGTGGGAGCGCCGGATCCGGACAGAGATCCGGAGGACGGGGCTACGACGACAGAAAGCGCAGCTGGCGAAGAGCACCCGGATGACACTCTAGTAGCAACTGAGGAAGAGGACTTTGAGCTTTTGGACCAAAGCGAACTGGAGCAGGAGGACGAGGGTCTGGACAGAGAGGTGGGGGGAGCAGATCCAGATCCAGACGCACCTCAGCAACCACAGTCATAGCCCCACTGGTCCCCCTTCCATCTGCGTTTGTTTTTATTTGTACATCATATCCATAAAACCCCCTAAATATATATATGTATCTCTCTCTCTATATATATATAG